AGCCCACATCCCTCCCAGCATGGCTCCCCCGTCCACACGCACCCGCATCAGCCCCTTTCCTGCCAGCACCAGCCCTGGCTCCGAGCCCTGCCATTCCTGCATCCCTCAGCCATGCCACTCACTCCCAGGCCCAGCACAGACTTGAGCTCTGCTCTCCTACCTGCTGTCATACTTGTTGGTGCCCACGTCAAACTTGAAGGTAGGTGGGAAGTTCAAAGGTCCCTCCTGAAAGCCGCTGAGGACAGGCCAGGTGCTCTTGGCAATGTTCAGCTGTGGGAAAGAGAGCAGGTCAGGGAGCACACCAGCCGCCATGGCCAGATCCCTCTGCAAGCCCCCAAGACCTCTCCACCCCCAACACAGTCATCCCTGCCCCCTTGCTGCCAGCCCCACAGAGCTCTTGGGGTTTGTCCATGCCATGCAAGCAGCAAGTCCCTAGACCCAATAGCCCCAGCTCTTCCTAGCACACCGATAAAGGAAGCATGTGCCTAGCTCTCAGAGAGACCATCCTGGGACTGTACTGCCCCTTCCCCACAGAGCCAGGACAGCCAGGGCCCTTTCGTATTATCATGGAACGGTTTGAGTTGGAAGGGACCTTAGAGATCAGCTAGATCCAACCCCCCTGCCACGGGCAGGGACACCTTCCGCTAGATCAGGTTGCTCAAAGCCTCATCCAACCTGGCCTTGAACACTTCCAGGAATGGGGCAGCCACAGCTTCTCTGGGCAACCTGGTCCAGTGCCTCACCACCCTCTGAGTGAAATTTTTTTTTTCTTATATTCAATCGAAATCTCCCCTCTTTCAGTTTAAAGCCATTGCCCCGTGTCCCATCACTACACGCCCTTGTCCAAGCCCCTCTCCAGCTTTCTTGTAGCCCCTTTAGGTGCTGGAAGGCTGCTGGAATGTCTCCCCGGAGCTTTCTCTTCTCCAGGCTGAACAAGCCCACGGGCAGCAATGGGACATGCCCTGTCCCACAGCTGCACAGGCAGTTTCAGAAAGAACCAAATGCCACTTGGGGCCCAGCCAAGGCTCAGCAGCATGCCCATCCCTCTTACCTGGTCCTTCTCCCAGAGCTGGCTAAGGATGTTGCTGTCAATGGCGTACTTCACAAAGCGGATGTCAAGGCTCTCGATGCGGAAGTTGAGGTCCCCAAACCAGAACACAAGGCTGTGGGCAGGAGGGAGGGCGACAGGCTGGAAGGCTACTGGAGCTGGGCAGCACAGCAGGAGGAAAACATCCTCAGCCTGTGGGCGGCCTCAGCCTGCAGCACAGGTGCTCTCGGGAGCACCAGTGCAGGTCAACACTCAGCTGCCAGCTTGGCCAGCTGCCAGCCCTGCCAGGACTCCTCAGGTAAGACTAAGCACCAGTAACTAAATAGGCCCCTGACTTCCCTGGGCAGAAATTGAAGGTGAAAATTCCCACCGTGAGACACCTACCAGAGTCAGACTGCACAGCCAAAATACTGGGGCAGAGGCGGGCCCTGCACCTCACCAGTGCCAAACCCCAACAGTGCCAGTATGGCAGGAGCTGCACCAGGCCTGGATGTGCCCCAGGGGAGACTATGGACCCCTCTTAACACCTACACCCCACCATACTGGGTCCCCACTGGGTCATGGGGCGATCTTGCAGCTCTGCAAGCAAAACCCCATGTCCAAGCTGTGCTGGGATTCAAGGGAGAGACCCCAGACCCTACCTGCAGGTCATCAAGGACAGCAGCTGGCACTATAGCCCTGGCCCAGATTGGGGAGCAAAGTGGTAGGGTACGCACTCATGGTCCAGGATGCCGCTGGCCGCATGCCCCTCGAACTGCTGCATGTGCAGTATGGTGGCAAAGTCCTCCTTGCGCTGCTCCGCGTGCGGTGGCAGGTGGCAGTTCAGGAAGCAGACCATGTGGCCGAAGATGGAGAGACGAACACTCACCCCGCCCTTGTTGCCCTGAACCAAGAGGGTCCCATAACTCCTCAGCAAGCCAGCCCCTCACCACATCCCCCAGGGCCACACTCACCCAGTAGCCTCCCAGTCCCGTCCTCGTGCAGTCCGTCTGGATGTCCTGCAGGAAGGGGAGGTGGTAGTACTTGGCAAATACCAGTAGGATCACACCTTGCATCCGCACTGTGCTGACCTGGAATGGGAGCAGGAGCTGAAGCAGGATGGCAGCCACAGGAACACCCTTCCCCACCTCCAGGCCATAGGAGCAGCACCTCCACCCTTTGCAAGCCCCTCATCTTGCAAGCGACGGACAGCACATTTAGTTCAGAGATCCACGCACGTTCTCCTCAATACTGGCAGCTGAGATGAGCCTTAGCGTCGCTGGGCTTACGGACGCTCTGAGGCAAGCACCCTGGGACCCACGGGCTGCTGCCAGCAGCACAGGCTTGTTCCCACACCCACCTCCTCACCCTGATGCAACGCAGCAGGCAACAAGGAGTGTCCCCAAAGCACCCCAGGGGAAGCCCAAGATGCAGAAAAGGGAGCAGGGTGGCACCAGCTAGAGAACACGCTGGTGAGATGCACCACTAGCCCCCAAGTCAGCCCCCACACGCTGCTTGGGTGGCTGCGGGCCGTCCCTTCGGCAGCCTGCCCCTCCAGCCAGCTCTCCCACACCACCTCCTCCCTCCATCCCTGCAGTCCAACTCTCCCTCCCCATGGTTCACCTGCATGGCAGGCAGAGAGGGAACACAGCTGCCCAGGCCGTTTGGGACCTCCTTACCAGGACAAAGTGGAAGGGGCTCAGCACATCCATGAAGAGCTCACTCCACTGATCTGTGAAGAGGGCATCCTTCAGGCGCTTGTTTATCTTAGAGTTCACCTCTTGCAGCCTGGGAGGAAATGGACAGGCCCCTCAGCCACACCAGGAAGGTGTCCATGTCCCAGCTAGCAAGAGCTCCTTGGGAGAGGTGCCAAAGCACCGTGCTGGGGAGCAGGGCCAGGATGGGAAAGGCAGCTCAAGGGAGGACCTTGAGAGCACAAACCAGCCGTATCCTTGCTCCAGCAATGCTGGGCCACGTGCTAGCAGAAGGCACAAGTGGCCCTGAACCCATGAGGCCTTGGCCCTTTTTAAAGCAGGAGCAGCTCAGTCTAAAGCCTGTCTCTAGGTGCAAGAGGGGCTTACAGGACATTTCAGCTGCCTTGGTTGCTACAGAGAAGCCAAGCCTCACTGGTATTTCAGCACAGGGTGTCCAGATGCATCCCAGCCACCAAGCTCGGAGCAGCAGCAAAGAGAAGGTTAAAAGCTCTCCTCCTGGCTCAGCGTTAGTGAAGAGAGGGAAGGAGCTCATCCGCAGAGAATGGCAGGGTCAGGAAATGTCTTGCCCTAAAATATCAAGCGCTCAGGGCACGAAGACAGAGGAAGGACACAGCCAGAGATGCCCTGGAGGTGGGGGGCAGCTGGACACCCTGCCCTGGCCAGGACACAGTCCCAGCAACTCCACTGCTGTCAGCTACACCCCCTGCCCCATCCATCCGGGCTCAGGTCTGCCTGCACAGCCCCACACAGCCCACTCCGCTGGTCTGCAAGGCTCAGGGGACCAGGAGAGTGGCTCCAGCAGCTTCGGCCTTACACCGCTCTCTCCCTGGGGCAAGGAGCACTGGGGGAGTCTCTGGGAGCCTACTGGAGGCCAGCCCAGCTCCTCCACCCCACGCCCACAGGCAGAGGCTGCTTCTCACTCCCTGTGCAAAGGCAGCACGTCCCAGGTCTTAGCAGGAATCCACACACGCCACGGCAGCCCTCGAGGGACCAGTTTGCCCTTCGACTCTGGCAGAGCTTGTCTTGCCAGCCACACCAGTACAGCCTTACCGCACCAGCGTGGCGCTGCCTTGCCTTGCACAGACCAATCCAGCTGTGAGAACAGCAGATTTGTGCCCTTGAGGCCTGCATACCGTGGGCAAAAGCCAAGATGAGGAAAACGCTCCCAGAGGACTCCAGCAGGCGAGTTAAATGCATCTAGAGACCTAACCCCAGGGCTGCCAGGGCTCACAGCAAGAGCAGCACTTGCCACAGCCCAGCTCTGCACAGCACAGCCAGCTCCAGGCTCGTTCAGGGTTCAAGGCTACTCAGGATTCAAAGGTTTCAGTTCCTCGTAGCACTCTCATTTCACTAGAAGTTGATTCTCCATCAACTTTCCTGATATTTTCCTGCTTGTGATGCACACCCCTCCCTGCTCACCGTGCCCCAGCGAGGCTGGGGCTGCAGCTCTTCCATTCCCTGCCCCTCAGGGCTATAGAGACCCCAGGAAAAGGGACGTGGCGGGGCAGGGGAGGAGGCCCTGCACCTCACTCTCTTACCCAATGGCAATCACGTCTGCATCGTTTGTCTCGCCTGTGTTGAGGTGCAGCAGAGATGTCACATCGTTCGGGGGCATGGCTGTGCCCACATTCCAGGTGACCACTGTGATGCTTGGGAGGATAAAGGAAGAACAGCCTCAGAGGTGTCCCCTATCACCCCCGTTCAGCCCCCAGCTCCATCAGGGAAGCTTTCTGCCTGCAACAGAAGCGGCCGCAGCTGAAGCTTAGCCAGGGCACATACGCCAGGTCTTTAACTCCCATTTGAGGGAGATGGGTCCTTGCTAAACTCCTAAATTCCCCCAGGGCCTGCACCTCAGCACATAGCAAGCCTGCTGTAATCCAAGCCCTGGAGAAATTCTAGAAACCAGCACAAAGAGACCTCGTTTTCATCCCTGCCAGCTGATACAGGCAGGCTGGCACAGCAGGTAGCCTGCAAGACAGGGTGTCCCCAGAAAAATGCTTCCCCTCTCTGCCCCAGGAATCACACATCCCTCGGGCTCCTAGGGAAAAGGATCCAGGTCTCAGCCCCCAGAATCTGCTCTGGAGCACAGCCAGCCCCAAAGGCGGGCACGGCATGTGACAGCAGCACTGCACGCCCCGCAGCAGTGTCCTTCACCAGCGCCAAGCCACCAGCAGTCACAGCACATCAGAGCCGTCACGCAGCGTGCACCCGCGGGCTCTTCTGGCAGCGCCACGACAAGCCTAAGTCCCAGCAGGCCCGTTCCGACAGCAAGGAGAGGGTCACGCCACATCGCTTCCAGAGCTCA